GTTCATAACTTTTTGTATGATCTGCTCAGTAAAGATATCTTACTTGTGACTTTCGGATACTGACTACCATTAAGAATTAGAACTTTTTGTGGTTTGAGCCCTTGAACTAAGACTTCAATTAGCCTTAATACATTAACTTAATTGGACTTTCTTTCGTTTAAGCCAAATAGGTCATAAGCTTTCCACGAATATTGTACTTGTACATATATTGTGGAAATAGATAACGGTATATTTACCTTCTTCTTTCTTGGCCTCTTGAAGATGGTTAATTCACTTCTAACAGCAACCTGCACCCACGGAACATAACACAACCCAATTTTAGTCAAACGAAACATTTCTCGTTGCACAGTACAAAACATTTCTCCACTGACTTTCTCTTGACAATGTTAAAGTGCGTTTTCACTTCTGTATTCATATTGTGACAATTTCAAATGAGCAGCCCTCACTTTGTGAGAACTTCCCATTCCCTTTTTCATTTAATTTATCGAGCAATTCACGTCTCAGTTTTCGACCCAAATGTACCTAATACAATCATTCAACCTACCAAAAATTAAAAACTGAGGACCCTAGAGGACACCAAACAACAACAAATTCAAATTATAACAAATTGGGAGAGATGTTACTACAATTTAATAGTGTTATTTCTCTTCCTTACAAGTAAAACTTAGGTTCGATTCTCGTTTAAGATGAATTCAAATTACATTATTATGACTAGCCCATGTAAAGCTTAACTCACTTCTCTACCTTTTAACGTAAATAATATCAAATAATATCGATGGTTGAAAACATAAAACCCCAAATGGGAGAGACAATCCAAAGAGCCACTAGTACAGAGACTCACAATTTTTTAAAATTGTCTTCAATATTTTTATATCTTTCCTTAGGACCCCACCGTAGCATTAAAAGGATAACATGCGAGGCTGTCCCATACGATCACGTGACAGACAGCCTGATTTTAATGTCTTACCCATTTAACTGTGTTACCTACCATTGGATCCTAAGTTAATGAAGAACATTCTCCTGATTCATCATCGTAGATCGTTAAATTTTTATTTAACAGTTATAATTATTATAATTTTAAAATGACTTCTGTTTATAATCATTGGATAAAAAATCTAACGATCTACGATGATGAATCAAAAAGACCCACTCTATTAGCTCAGAAAAGGATCCAAATCCGGATCCAAGCTCGACCTCGTCCTTTTCTATTTTCTTTTTTTTTTTTTGGTAAACGGCTCGACCTCATCTTTCCATAAAAAGGAGTGCTGCCGATCAAGCTGTCATCTGAACACGTTAAAATAGACATATTTCTTTGTCTTATTTTAACTCGTATAAACGACGTCGCAGGCCACTGATTCGATTTGGTCGTTACCATGCGTCTGCAGGAAAAGCCAAACTGCGGCCGACCACACCCAATGATTTCCACGTCACTGCACAACCACTACCAGAACCACACCAAATCACAACGCGCAGACCTATTTTGCCACGATGACACGCTATCGATAAAGCAGGTCATCCTTTTTCTCTCTTCCCAAACTGCCCTCGTAGTTTAACGTACGGTTTGACTTTTTGAGGCCGAATTTCGTCATTTCGACTAAAACTTAACCGGGGGTTTCGGAGTTGGGGACTGTTTGTTTGCTACCCAACTGTGTGGAGCCCCTATTAACCCGAAGGGCTTAAGCTTAAAATGACTTTCCAAGAATGTTTTACTTGACTAAGACACCATCATTCATTTATCTTTTTAAAGTACTGTTTAATTACATGCCCACGCTACCTACTCGGTCGAGCTAGGGGGTTGTACACAACAGTTTATGGGGTTGGCCGAGACCTTGTTCAATGACGAAAATGTCACCGATGAGAAGGGTCTTTTGGGGTTTCCAGCGGAATAAGCGTGACAGGAGCGGAAAAGGAGAGAGAAAAAAAACGTGAGTGTCATCGACTCCTCTGACTCCATATGCTTTGAACGGAAGTCGCCCTTTTTTATTCCTCTGAAAAACCCTAAAGAATCTAGAAAATTTGAAAACACGGAAGGTCATGAGGGCATTTCAGTACACAAGATATTGACAATGGTAAAACGACTGCGCCCAGTTCGAACGACCGCCGAGCAGGGAAACCGTCCGGCGTGCGAAATGACCGAATTTGCCTCGGCGGCCACCATGCATCCCCATGCAACATAGGGGTATAATTGTCAAAAGGAAAACGACCGATTGGAAGCCCCCTCTACAGAAACAGAGAGACTGACAGATCACCAAGCCATCCTATCCGATTCCTGAACCACTCCCGTGTAAATACCACACCTTTCCAGGGGTATTTTCGTCAATTGAAAAATCCAAAAAAATAAAGTAAAAATGCAAAAGAACAGCCACCGAACCAAAACCCGACCCGACCCTAATGAGTGACAGTGACAGAGATATACGGACCTTAGATCTCGCGGTATCGGTCGGCTTAAGCGGCTTGCTGGATTCTTCTGAACCGTCGACGCAGCCACCGCCGCCGCTAACCGAAGTGGCCCCGCTCCAGGACAAAGGCGTGGTGGGGCTGGCCCTGGCGCCGCTCGACTCACCCTTCTTGCTCTTTCTTCCCTCAGCAGCAACGTCGTCGGCATGATGGTTACGTGGCACGTTCCTGGAACGGCGCTGCCTTACGCTCCACCGCAAAGTCGGAAAGCCGTGAGTACTACTGCGCTTCGACGGCGGAGGCGGCGCAGCGTGCTTGAGGCGGAGAAGAAGATCGACGACCGCCACCTCGTCGTTCATGGCGAGCTTGACCCAGCCGTCTGGACCGTCGTCAGCAGGGGAACTCATAGTGTTGTCACTGTCGGTTTTTTGCTTCTCCGGGTTTTTGCAGAGAGAGAGGAAGAAGAAGAAGAGGGTGGGGATAGAGAGAAGGGGGAGAAAGAAAATCTTTTTCAATTTTATGTGGGTTTGTTTGTGTGCGCAGAAAGATGAAGAGGAGGAAAGAACATAAACATATATATCTATATACACACACAAACTCACAACTTTTCCACTTCTTCGTCTTTGTGTCGATTTTCCTTTTCTTTTTTTTTTTCTGTTTTTTTTTTTGCTGTCGATCTTTTTCTCAATTCTATGGGTGGGCCTCCGGAGTGGGAACACGTGGCAGTTCTTGACCAACTTTGCGTGGCTTTTTTTTTTTTTTTTTTTTTTTGTTAATGGTTATGATGTCTGACACTAATTTATTTAGATAGGGTTTGTAGGTGGAGATTGGTGGAGGTGTGTGGGGTAGACGCGCTTGGGGCCGGAGGTGAGTGAGGACCAAGAATTGGGGAAGATGTAGAAGATGTGGCATTGATGTAGATAACCACATCATTTAAAAAATTTACAAAATTTAAGGAAATGAAGGATAAATACTTCTCCTCGTATCTCACAATCATCATTTAATTAACTAGTTTTTCTTAATTATTAGCTTATTCAATAATGAATTAAATTTAAAAATCTAATTAATTCAAATGATGTGGATGTCCACATCAAATGTCATATAAGATAGTATGAAAATATGATACAAAAATATGGTATGAATGACATTACTCGATGTTTGTCAGTTGATGATGCGACGCATTTGGCTTCAGATGTTGGCAATTCCTTTTAGTTTTATTTTTTGAACTTTAATTGTCAGATTTTTATCACGATAGGTTCTTAAAATAAGGAAAGTGATCTTTTTCCATTAAGTGATCCAGACCTTCCAAATTTTATCCAACGGCTAAAAAATATCACAACTTTTAATAGGTCAAAACAAATGAGCCGTTGGATGAAATTTGGAAGGGTCGATCACTTGATCCGGTAATCTTGATGGAAGAGATCCGGAGAGGATCTCTTTCCTTGAAATTATTAGTGATCCGGACGGTATTGGATGAAGAGATCCGGAGACCATATTTTTCCTTGAAATTATATATTTTAATTAAAAGTGGCCTCTAAAATAGGAAGGTCGTCCACTTGATCTCTAAGAGCAAATTTACCTTTTTTAGGAGAGCAAAGGTAATGAAATTACTTTTACTATTTATTTTAAACCGTAATTATTTTTGTGCACGTCCATTTGTTTGAAAAGAGGGAGATGATAATTGCTCAAAGTACTTGTCTAACACGCTTTTATTATACCCGTTAAGTAATTTTTCTCTAGTAATTTATCAAGTTGTGCTTTAATATGTATTGTTGGTCAAAATGACTTAGTTGATAAAATTATTTGGCTTTGACCTAAAAGTATTGATCTTTTAAGAAATTAAAAGATGAATGAAATTGGTTTTGTGGAGGTCTCGCAAAGTCAAGAAAGGAATTGGATTTTATTTTCAAGAGTAGCTTCATTTCCTATTGGCCTAGCCCATGAGACAATTGATTTCTCAAATTAAAAGCAGATGACTATTGGCTAGGTCATGGAAAAGAAAAAACAAAAAGAAAGGGTATAAGAGTACTTCCACGATAGGCAATGAAATCCATTGTCTTGCCCCTACTTCCCCCCAACCCCCGAAAAAAAAAAAAAAACCCAAAACCCTCTAGCCGTAATTGGGCTCAAGGCAAGCCTGAGAAAGAAGTCAGGCAAAAGTCCACGGCTCGAGCGCCTGGATGGATGTAACGCAAGACTGACATCATACTTCAGGCACATATACACGAATGTGGGGATGCATCTCTAATAACGTTTTCAGAAGGTGGACCCCACATGGTAGCCCACTCAGTTACTGTTGCATTGGAGCAACGCGGTTGCTTCCAGGCCGTTAGACTTCTAAGGTTAAAAAATTTCAAACCTTGCCCAACGACTAGTGACATGACACAATCTGGACCATTTGATTTTCAGATCAACGATCCACATTTTCGGGTTTAAAAAAATTAAAAAATAAAGAAATTAGAAATGTCATCGTTAGGCCACATGTCACAATTTGGATGTTGGGTTTCAATTTTTTTAATATCCAATGGTCCAAATTAATTAAGTTAATAAAAATTAAAAAAAAATCAAATTTTTTAAAATTATATAATTTTTCGCTCAAAGTTCCATCTGACGAAAAGGACCCTTTTGACGCGAAGGAAACCACGGACCCAAACCCCCAATCTCACTCTTCCTCTCTCTCTTCCTATTTCAGCGACGTCAAAGCCAGCCTCAGGCAACACCAACAGCAGCAACAATCGCCGCCGCCGCCGGAACAGAGTAGACCCACTCCTCAAGATCCGTCATGTACAAACCCTTCCCCATCCGGGACCTCCAAAGTTGCTTCCTTGGAAGAAATCCGCAAAAACCTCTCCGAGTTTCGGCGCCGATCCTCCGTGCCGGACCCCACCGAATCAGGCCCTGCATTTTCGCAACATTCTTCTACGGCTTCAGATTTCCCACAGCAAATCTCTTTTCAAGAGCTCTACAAGAGAAATGTGCTTGACAAGGCCGAGGCGGCAATGCCGATAGTGACCGGAAGCTCTCTTTTGATACGATTCGAGAGAGTTTGAGGAAGATAAATAATCCCAGTGTGCAAAATGATAGGAAGGACCCTTCGTCATTGTCGCAGTATACGGAGAGTTTGCGCCAGAAGCTGAACCAGCCGAATGTGATCGGAGGGATTTACGGGAAAGATTGGTGAAGTTGCAAGGGTCGGACCAGGAAAAGGCAAAGAAACCATCAAGTAAGTGAGCAGTTCTCTGCTGGATTTCTTTTTTGTGTTGTGTTATTTGAAAAGTTCACTTTTTGAATTAAACAGTTTGTTCGCTGAGATGTTGTACTGATGGAATGGGATGAAATTGTTGTGCTACTTGCATTATAGGAGCCACAATTCTGTATCGCTAATTATTGAATAAGAACCATTAAAATTATATTTGGATTTAGTTCCAAAGTTTGTTGTGACTGTAATAGCTCCAGGCTTTATAGTATTCTGTTGTTTGCGTACTAGATTTTCGTTTGTTACAGAAGTCATAGGTTTAAGTTTACTTTCATACTACACGTGAAGATTTTCTATGTTTGGAGTAAGTTAGATGTGCTACAGATATAGTGATCTTACCCAACTGAAGCATATTCGCGCTCTTCCCAGTTTGATTAAAATTTGAAGACGGGGGCCTAGGTACAGGAATTGGCTTAAGTTCTGTCTTCTGTTTTCTTTCCAAAGACAAGTGCTGGATTATCACAATGTAAAGTAAAAAAGTGAATTAACAAATTTCAGCTTGTTGGTTTGTATGTTTTAAATTTGCAGTTAAAGATACAGCAAAAGTTTCAAATTATGTTGCTCGATCGATTGTATTTGATGAGTATCTTGCAATTTACTGATTGATTCTGTTTTTGCAGCAGTACAGAGAATTGATAGTCAGCCTTCATAACAACCCATAGTACGCACGACTGCCTTGTTATCACTTGAGAGCTCTTATTGAGTTAATGTTGTATGCTATCTGTTGGAAAGGTCAGAGAAATTTTGGTTTCACTTAATAGATACTTGAATTGTTTTGGTTCTCACACGAAATAATTCCACATCGCAAATTTTGTTAATTTTGATCAATAGTTTGGTGCCTAATACATTAATAAAATGTTTATGCAGTATTTCCATCCAGATAACATGTCTTCTGCAGAAAAACTGAAGCTTGAGCTTGCCAAAGTTAGAGATGAGTTTAAAATGTCAGAGTCGGATTGTGGTTCTGCTCGAGTTCAAGGTATCAGTTTCGATTTTGGGTTCATTACACTCTTTTATTTGTAGAATAATGACTTTTACTGTCAATGAGGTGTTTTTAGGTGGAACTCTAGGAACAAATAAAAAACTCGGTTTTGATTTCGGGTTCATTACATTTTTTATTTGTAGAATAATGAATTTTTGTGATGTTCTTGTCCATCATGCAAGTGTTCTATCTTTATCATTGGCACATACATTCAAGCTAATGTTTGAATTGTCCAGAAATTTAATTCTTTTTTTCTTTCAGGTTTTCAGTTGACTTGCAAACAATCTTTCAATCTCCTTTCACCCATAACAAATTTGTTATCGTTTGAAAGTTTTCTTCCTTTGTGCTGTCACATTATACTATTCCTGGAGAAGAAAAAGGTGAGAAAGGTTACACTTTGCATGAAGGTTTGCATCGCAGGGTTGTGTCCACTTATTATTTTAATGGGTGATAGCCCCCTTTACTTTTGCTTTTAGCAAATAAACATCAGTACAATAAAAAATATTTCTAGGCCCCTTTCCATCATCAATGCAGCTAACTAAAGAAATTAAACAGACAAATAGGAAGAAATGTTTTATGTTTTTGAATTTACATGTATTGAAAATTCAAGAGTTTTAGAGATGTATTTAGATGGTCTGTGGGGTTCAATAAGGGTGTTTTAAGTTCATAGATTCTACAGAAATGTCATTGGCTTGAATCCGTCCACTTCGTTTAGGGCCATTTGTTGAGCTGGAGTACTGCCAAAATGGTTTTCTTTGCTTGGTCTTTGGTGTGGGGTGTCTTCACCTTTGAAATTTCAGGAAGTGGAGGTCTTCTTAGGTAAATATTTTGTATCTGAAAAAAATTGCTAGGAATCAGTTGACCACTTTCTGCTATACTTGAGTTCAGAGTTGTGTACTTTCCTCTTCTTCTATGTGGTTCAGTTGGTTATGTCTGGCTCAATAAAAGGTTTTCTTTGGCAGACGGCTCCCTTGTGTATATGAAGAGAAAGAAACAGTAGACATTTTTAGAATATGATCCCAATTGGGGTCCTTTAAGCATTCCAACCTGCACAGAACAATTGTTAAGGTCTCCATTGAAGGGGAGAAAAAGAATAAGTCGAAACTGGGATTTGTTATTTTAGCTGTTAAACGAGTTAAAATGGTTTATGGCTTAGAACTTAGTTAAAGAGAAAAAATCTTCAACCCTATACCCCTTTGCTGGGGAAAAATAAAGTGTTTAACTGTGCTGAAATTAGTACGTTCATAGCATGTTTACCCCTTCTAACACAACTTGAAGGTTAATAAACATTTTGTTATTTTGGTTGCTCTGCAGTGGCACAACTGACGACAAAAATCAAGCATCTACAGTTCTTCACCGCTCACTTCATCCCTCTGAGGTCAAACTGCCGCTGCCTGCCAAGTTCAATATCTGTAGGCTGGGACATCTTTTTCCGATCATAGCCAACGCCTCATCATCGATTCCGGAATACATCCAACTCAATACCTTCAACTTGGGAAGTTCAAACTCAAGGAGTAAACAAAGGTTCTTCCTCACTCTACCATTTATCATCAATTCCCTAATCTCAGAGCATCTCTTCAGTACTTGTACAATGCCGCTTTCTGTAACTCCCTTGCAGCCGCGCAAATCGAGCACTTCCAAATTGGGGAAAGTAGATGCAAGACTTGTCAAAAAGGCATTGTCTATTGAGCTATTTTGAGCCAAGTTCAGAGATTTGATTTGATTGTTTGCCGTACAATCGGTTTCAATGTTTTCGTCCCCAATATTTGTTCCTACCATTTCCATTGTATCTAAAACCACACAGCTTGTTACGAGGATATAGAAGGTGATATCAGTCATGTTATTGTTCCTGCCATTGCCATGTCCTTGTCTCTAAGAAAATGTGCTTCTTAATTGGATTCGGTACGCGTTATGTTGTATGGTTGGTTGTAAGTGAATGGTCTTAAGTTTGATTCTCGACGAAGGTGAATTTGAACCACATTATTGCTAGCCTATTGTGAGGTTAAGCTTACCCTCTTCTTCTTAGTATAGATAATGTTGTTATATATATATATATAGTTATACTGACTTTTTATTCATTATTCAATCAAAATTTTGAAAAATATTTCCATATTTGTTGCTGGCCGCTTTTTATTATTAATATCTAACCTACCTATTAATAAAACTTTGGTTGTCAACCAAAACTCCAGAAAATTACCATTTTAACCCCCGCACAAAAATTGAACTCAGATAAAAATTAGAGGCAATATAGTATGAATATAAATTTGGCAGTTTTTTACTGTAACCTCACAATCAAGTTAGCATAGCATGCCTTATTTAAAAATTAAAAAAATAAAAAGTATTCCCACGATAGAAGAAATTGCTCATTATTATCTCAATTTTCTTCATTTTTTTTTTAGAATTTTAAAAACTAATCCCACTTTTTAATAAAAAAAAACAAAGTGAAATGAAATTGTTCACACAATGTGTGTGGACACTTGCTAGTATCTATATATATATAAAGTCAGAAGGCAAAAATATGAATCATTCGTAATCCCAAAATTACCCCTCCTTAATTAATATTTTGAAATAAAATAATTTATCTATATACATAAAGTCAAAAGGGAAAAAAAGATGAATCATTTATAATTCCAAAAATACACCTCCTTAATTAATATTTTGAAATAAAATGATTTAATTTAAAGAAAATCCCAGCTAATATAATAAAACTACCCATGTAGTGGATAGTAATTTTCCTTTAATTTCAAAAAAATAAAAATAAATGAATAAAATTACAAGTAAAAAAAAAAACAGGTAACAGAGTGGCCAGAGGCTGGTAGCTCACTAAGTTTAAGTTTTTTTTTTTTTTTTGAATAGATGATATTATCTAACTAAAGAGGAGGTATTGGGCTTAATCTCACAATGAACTAATAATAATGTGGTTCAAATTTACTTTTGACGAGAATCGAACCTAAGACGTCTTACTTACAAATGAAAAGAAATATTATTAGACCGTAGTATTAAGTGATCATTAAGTTTGAGATTTAAATACCATAAAATCTCAAGTTTTATTGCTGATGTGGAAATACATTAATATTAATGCGTGCATTTTTACTCACCCATATTAACTTTGATGTATACTCACCGTATACCTTATTAGTTGCCATGTATCGCATCTTTTAATCCTAGTAAACATGTTAATTAATATAACTATTTTAATTTTTAAAACTAATTTAAACATGATTAAATAAATAAAGTGAACTCCCAGAAGCTTTTCAACTTCCCCAACCAGCCAACCGGCACCCACCCACGCCACCCTTTCTATCTTCTTGTTCAGAAGCCATGGCGAATCAGCCATCTCTGTCATCCGCCCTGCCATCCCTCTTATTCCACTGTAACTCTAATTTATTTTATAAAGAAAACTCAACAAATGTCCTCGCCAATAAAACATATCCCAAATCGAAAAAAATTTCAAATCTGTATGTGCACAGAAATGTCATCGCCAAGAAAGAGAAAGGGCTAGTTCTTTAGGTGCGGTCGCTATCAAATTTCATGGCTGCAATGGTGAAGCCGTCGTAGTTGTCTCCAGCTATTGTTGTATGGTCTTCGATTATCGAGTTGATGATCATATAGTCACAGTTGAAGAAAAGGTTAAAACAACGTTCTCATCGTCATCATCGAATCTTTGGCCGTGGGTGGGTGGGTGCTCAAGGGGTTCCTGGGTGGCGAAGTTGAAACGCTGGAGGGGTTTGGATTTTTATTTTTATTTTTAATGCTTAAAATTAGTTTCAAAAATTGAAAAAGATATATTTAATTAACAAGTTGTTTGGGCCCAAAATATTGGGATTGGGCCGAGCAGCAGGATGTGCTTGGCCCAAGGTAATAACACATGCTATGGGCCAAATAATGAGACTCGGACCAGCTGGCAGGGTCGGCCAGATCCGATCTTAAGTAGTCTAGATAAACGAGGAAAGGTCGAGGAAATCCTGATGCAACCAGGGCTCTCGACCAGCAAGGGATAAAGCCTCAAAAGGAGGAGAATTCAGAATCCCAGTAGGACTAGGGTTGTTCGAGTTAAAGGAGAAATGGGATCAGGACTCCCAATCCAAATCAGAATGGGATTCAAGGAGCGAGGTGCTATAAATACAAGAAATTACGCAATGGAAAGGCTCTCCACAATCAGCATACAATTGCCCTGCGCAAATTCTCTCAAACACCTTGAGATTTTTTCCTTTTCTTTTCCCGCCGACACACCTTCAGTTTGGATAAACAGCACTGTGGAAGCAACCGGTGAGCACCTTCAGTTTGGATAAACAGCACTGCTGCCGCAGAATCAGCCGACCAAGACACACCTTCAGTTTGGATAAACAGCACTGCGTCGAGGTCGACCGATTATCTATCTAAGTCTCGGCCGAGGAAGGTTTTCGAACCTTTGGTAGAGGTCATCTGACTTAGCCGTTCCGGCATAGTTGGGTGTTACGAACTACCTTGCTCGGCGCATTGGAGGCCGAGTGAGTTTATGATTGGATACTCACAAGTAAGTTTCAGGGTTCGGCATTCCGACGGCCGAACTACGTTTACCATCAAGACATACATCACATTCGAGTACCTGTGCCCGTATAGTTTGGTCTCAATTCGGCGTGCTTATACTCTTACGAATATAATCACAGTGGCCGAATCAGGCTTCGACGAGTCGTGAACTCCGTAGAATTAGTAGCCTTGTCTTCAGGCTATAGAATCCAGAGACCGAGAGCGTTCCTTACTCGGTCGCAATCGCAAGATACAGAAGTCAACAGCGCGCTCAACGCGACCGCATCAAATTTTACTCCTCGGCCGAGCTCGGCCGACGAGTTGGCACGCCCTGCATTCAACCGAAGGACATTAGTTAGCTCATTAGTTATTCGGCCTGCGCGCCACGTAGGTTCTGTAATTTTTGTAGTCAACATTTTGGCACGCCCAGTGGGACCATTGTGCTAAACCTTCGGAGTTCATGACCGTAGAGACACGGTCTACCAAGAAGAAAACAAACATGGGAAAGTCAACAGCTGACTTACCAGTACAAGGCCTTGGGCAGGATTCGCACCCAGCAAAAAATCCGGTCATTGCTTTGCCACCCGAGGCTACAAGTGTGACCCGCCGAGAGAATGAGATCTGTCTCGGTGGGCAAACTCACAACGCGGCGATCCCGAATCAAACGACGCCCGTATTTGTGGAGGGGATAGTGGAAGACTGCGACGACGATGGTGGAGAAGGCTCTGATCCACCAACTAGGTCGTTTCTTCGGAGACGACTTGATGAGCAGTATCGTCAGGTCGAGCAGTCGATTGGTCAGAAGATGAATGATTTGTTAGAAGCAATACGAAGTAACAACGATACACAGACCAGAATGCTTGAAATATTAGTTAGTAAAGCCTTCGAAGATGGCCAGGTCGGCCAACCTCGGCAGCTCTCGACGAACGTACCCATACCAGCCAATAGAGCATCCGCTCGACCGCAACCAGTCACTTTAGAAAGAGGACCAGGAAACAGATCTGAGGGACCAAGCCAGGGAGAAGAAGCCGCCTCCGTGAACATGACCGAAGTCCAGAGAATGATTGATTCGGCCTTGAAGAAAGGGCCGAAGTTTCCAAAATTCATTCATCCATACCCGGCTTACGTAGAAAGGTTTGAATACCCACGGGGATTTAAGATACCTGATTTCAGCCTCTTCGCCGGGGAATCGTCTTTGTCTTCATTAGAACATGTGGCTCGGTTCACGGCGCAGTGTGGAGACGTTAATAGCGACTTCTACAAACTACGTCTGTTTAATTTTTCATTGACAGGCTCCGCTTTCGCTTGGTACATTAATCTTCCACCCAATTCTGTGCAGAGTTGGGAGGAGTTGGTCGAAAAGTTCCATGAACAATTCTATCGGCCAGGGATGGAGATGTCAGTGTCATCCTTGGCCAGGATGGCTCAAGCATCCGACGAATCTCCAATGGAGTACTTAACGAGGTTCAAGTCGGCCAGGAATTGGTGCCGAGTACCACTTCCCGAAGTGGAATTCGTCAGGATTGCTCTCAACGGATTAGACGTGGAGTACAAAAAGAAGTTCCTGGGAGCAAACATTCGCGATATGTACGAACTTGCTCAACATGTCGAACAGTATGATTACCTGCTCCGAGAAGAGAAGGTCTCAAAATCACCATCCCGGGGAACGTTGTATAAAAACCCCACGGTCAGTTATGCGTCGGCCGAAAGCGGGGATCCTCAGTACGTCAGTGTGGATGCGGCCGAGATAGTCATAGACAAGCCGTACGTCTGCAAGGCTCTGGCTCAAGTAAATGGCAAAGACACCAAAGCCCATTCGGCCGTCGAGGAAATGAATAAGTCTTCAAAAGTCTATACTTTCGACATTACCAAGGCCGATGCAATTTTTGATCAGTTATTGGCAGCAAAGATCATCAAGCTTCGGCCAGGACATATTATCCCTAAGGCCGATGAGTTGAAGGGAAAGGTATACTGCAAGTATCATAACTCTAATAAGCATGCAACCAATAATTGTGTCGTATTCCGTGATACAATCCAAGGTTGGATCGAGAAAGGAAAGTTGAAATTTCCAGAAAAGCAGATGGCGGTCGACGTTAATCCCTTCCCGTCAACAACGATTGGTATGGTGGATGCTCATATTCCAAAAAACAAAGGGAAGGCCGAATACGTCCCGATGCAGCATATCCGTAAAGGGAATGGTCGAACAAGGCTAAAAATC